TTTTTTAAAGAGGTTTTTGCTATAGGGCGTGTGTGCTCGCCAGAGAGAGAGAGAGAGACAGAGAGACAGAAAGCAAGAAATCACCCCCGAGGGGGGTGGGCCATGCGGCAATCCCTTCTCCTCCATTCTTCTGTTTTCCTCTCAGGATCTTGGGCACGTACGCACATGCACCCACGTGAGTTTAAGGCACTGGGTCCGGGACTTGAACCACAGTTGACTACATTAGAGTCCAGCAACATAGCTATCATGCCAACTGCTGGTATTGCCTTAGCTGATTTTTATCTGGTTGAAAGTAATCTGAAGTTTTAGGATAAAACGTTTTATAAATATACATTCATTGGAATGTAGATATCCAAATCAATGCAATAATATAAATATACTCGAGATTTTTATTACCTTTACTTGAATTCAAATCTGGAAATAAAATATAAAGAAAAAAAAACACTACTCAAAAAAATACTTCAATTTTAAATATTCTTGTGCCAATTAAGCTATAAATGACTTGATTTTGAAAACAGAATAGCTTATGATCACTTTGTAATTAAAACTAATTGATTTTTAATGTTCCTGACAAAAAGCATGCTGTGAAATGACTATGAAATGGCTGACACTTCCACTGGAAAATATGTTGCTAAAAATAAGTAGCTGTGCTTGATTTATTATCAGCAACCTAAGGAGAAAGGTTCTTTATTTTAAAACACTCAGCATCCTGCAAATTAGCATGGGCAATCCTCTTTGCTCGTTTTAGTGAAATTAAGATTTATCCTTGCACTGGGAAACAAGATGAAATCCAATTTGAAGCAAGAGGAAGAATAGTTATCTTTGATTCACTGTTGCAAGCTCAAAATCCTAAGTTAGCTGGAGAAAATAATGACTTTTTGATCATTTAGAATGTACCATTTTCAGGAGCATTGTTTGTTTTAATAAAGTTAGGTTGTTTTTCTGGAGAGAGACAGAGAAACAGTGAAAGTGAAACTGAGAACTCACCGCCTGGGGGAATAGCCACACCACAATTCCTTCTCTCCATTCTCCTCCTGGGATGTTGGGCATGTATGCACACACGCCTGGCATGTTTCTCAAAACAAGCAGGTTCGGGACTCCAACTGCACTGTTGGCCATGTGAGATCCAGCTGCCTTAACACACCATGCCACTGACTGGCCCCAACAAATTGTCCCTTGGAAATTTCCCACCTATTTACCAATCTGCTTGTGACATTTCTTAGTACTAAAATTAAAATGACCTAATAAAATGATTTTTTAAACAATTATTTTGGGGTTTGGAAGCCATGCTACCATTTTTTCCCCTTGAATTTTGCTGGAATACTGATACCCACATACTGTGGATAACAATGAATCTTATTAGTAATCTACATGAGCGAAGGCTTAGTATTTTGAAATGGTTGCTGTGATATTTGTAAAGGTTTTCTTAAACAACCATTATGAAAAGATATTGACAAGACCTGCCCTGCCTCATAATAATCTTGGTTTTAGAACAATTTTTCAATATTAAAAGAATCAAGTTTCCCTGAAATCTTTCAATATTGTCTAACACCCTCCATTTATTTACTCCATTATATAAAATACCCACCAAAGCAATTACCAAATTCATATAACCTTGAAGTAACTTAGTGAAGTAATTTAACATCTTTCGTATCATACAT